GTACGAGGGCTTTTGTTTAGGGGGGGGGGGCAAAATTTTTTGGGGCCCCCCCTTAAACCCCCCTTTTTTGAAAAAATATTGATACCTTTTTTAAACTATTTGATCATTTACACTGCACTTCCATATTGCAAGAGGTAATAAATTATTTATGATTATTTCTGAATTTGAATTTTAAAAACCTTCCACGCGGAATTTAGTTTGATCATGATGCAATATTAAGTGTTCATTTGTAATAGTGCAAATGAACGTTATATAGTCCAAATGAATGTTAGTTCAATGTAAGATCAATCAAATTAGTACAATCGATATTTTACCTAAAATATGTTCTTATATGAAAAAAAAAACAGAATAGAATAATTTAATTCAATATTAACAACATAACATGGCTCAAAATTCCAATATAATAATCTGAAGTACTTTAAAAAAGATTGTAAACAATAGCGGATGAAAAAAAGGTGTAGTTGGAGGAAATAATGGCGAGTTGTGAACTTGTGACGTAATTTGTGGTCAGATTCAAAAAAGGTGTGGTGTGCCTCCCCTCCCCCGTCCAGGGGATTAAACTCCTATGCTGAAAACTTTAGAATGGAATACCCTTAATCCCGATCGGCTAATTAATCTGGAGATTAATTACAAGAGGAGAACAAGCATTATTTAATCTCGAGATTAAGAAAAAGAGTGGATCAGAAATTAATCCCTATATCCACAATTCAAAAGTTTCCAGCTCTAGTCCTAGATGTATATTTATGCTCCTAGTATTTTCAAGTTGAGAAGGTTTGAAACGAAGAACAACCCAGTTAACAATTTTGGGGAAATTTTTGAGAAATTTAATGTAGAATTTTTCACTTTTTCAAGAAATCCTCGAAACTTTTGAACGACCAATTCACGAAAATGTGTTATTTTTGGAACCAACTCACCATGATACGGTGCCCTATACTTTGTCAATTCCTCCAACTATACTCCTGAATATCCCCAAATGTCTCCCCAATTGGAGAAAAAATTCCTGTGCTTCTCCAAGTTTGCTAGGCATAAAATGTATGAGAATAACTAAATCCCAAAATTCCACTGCCAGCTGAGGGGGGGAAGGCAAGCTGCACCCGTATAGCCTCCATACCGCAATTTACTCACAAACATAGACTTTCGTCAAATCGCTCACCCATAGAGCGATCCTTTGCAGCACCCATACATCTTCCGGCAAAATGTCTTATGATTTTCTCCTCAAATATTAAGTACTAAGTACTAAATTTGTATCCTTACTATGAATAATTTTGCTTTTAGTTAGTGTTAAGATTAAAGGTGAAGCGTGTTTCCAATTCAATAATCATTCTCTTCCTTGGAGCTAGGTAATGTTAAATATATTTCAAAATCTAATTATTTCAGTAAAGCAATTATGGAAAATGGACGTGACAGGAAAATTTAATTTTTCTCCAGACGCTACAAGATTATCAGTCGCTACTTATGATGGAAAATTATCAATATGGAATTCTGCTTCAGGTTTGATCATTTTTATTAATATTTAATGACCTTTTTTTTATTCGCAGTATAATCTTGTGTATAGTAGTATATCAGCAGTAAAAATGATCAAGCCGAAATTTTTGATTGACAGCTTCTCTTTAT